CAGGAATCAGCCAGGGGCAGGTCCTGGCACGCTTTGTTCCGGGTGGTCTGTGTCACATGCACCTTCCCTTCCGTGTTCTTTTAACAGAACCCCAGATCCCTCGTTAGTGTTTCCACAACTGTCACTGCTTCTCTGTGCCCTTGGCACCTTCACTAACCTGCCCTCTTGAATCTCCCCACCCCCAGTCTGCTGCAGTTGGGGCCATGGCAGGAGTCCCACGAAGGGTCACCGTGTGGTAGAACCACCTTCCTACTGGCTTTATGTGCTGTTGTGATTTTAACAGGACCTTTCTTTGCAAAGGTAGTTATCTGGGTAAAATGTACTGTATAGTGGAAGAGAACAGTTGTAATTAGTAATGCAGGGAAGCCACTAAGGAAACATTTCCTTCCTGGTTCGTTTCATGGGGAACAGGGTTCCCCAATGGTCAGAGCTCCCAGTTCAGTGGGAAGGCCAGAGGGGTGTGAGGTAACCTTGGTTGTGGGTCAGCACCTAGGATTTCCCACACTGGCCCCCTCAAGAGGCACAGAGGACTGTGAACCACTAGTCGGTCCCCTGGCCCCAGGCCGCACTTGACACGCTGAGTGAAAGTGCTTGACAGTGTTCGCACATCGCATGGTGTCAGCTGTGTGGGTTGTGTCTAGGTAGTGGCGCCCTGTTACCTAAGTAAGTGTTCACATCTTAAAGTACAGGACTGTGTAGACTGGTTTTTGCCTACTAAGAGATTTCCTTGCCTTAAAAGTTAAGTCTGATGAGGCGTTTCTCATGAGCCCTAGATGTGCATTGTAAATGTGCCTGGCAATCAAAATCCTGTTGTGTGCATGTTCTGCATCTTGGGATGAGTGGGATGCCACTTGTACAGTAAAGGCACATCTTCCTAAGTTGACCTAGCCAGCACGAAAATAAGCTTCCTTGATGGCACAGTTTCTGTAATGCTGCAGACCCCTCCCTGTCTTTAAAAGTTAAGGAAGGCTTTTCCTATGTTTTAAAACTCCTTGATCAGAAATTGTTTAGTTTTAGAATCTCACTGGTATCTGGCTTTAGTTTTTTTTTCAAGTCTTAGATGAAAATTCAGATGCGGGTTTCTGTGTTGCCCTGGGCACCTTCCCGAATGGAGCATCTTTACTGGCCCCAAGGTCAAGGATGAGGGGCTTCTTAGGCAGTGGTCACACCCGGTCGTGACTCCACCTCTGGGGGAAGAAAACTGGGAGGGTTTATTTTGAGCCAGTCCTAGATGATTTTCTGTCATAAATGCGCATCATCTAACGTGTATTGAAGTCATGTCTAGTCAACAAATACCTGCTTTGGCAGTCAAAGTAAAAGGTAAGGACGGTTTTAACAGTGTTCGGTAATTTTTCCTTTTAACTGGAATAGGAAAATGGGAAGGGAAAGTACTTCTTTTCTAAAACAAATAGAATCAAAATGGATACTTTTGGAAGAAAATTTTTTTTCTGAAATGTCTACAAGCCACTCTTCTCAGATGCGGCATGGAATATTTCGGTAGTTCCTTTGGCAATGGCGATAGGTGTGTTGGGAGAAAATGCCACAGGTGGCGTGCTCCGTGGCTGTGGAGAAAGGAGTCGAGTCCAGATGCAGTGTCCTTCAAAATTCCGACAGGCCAATTTTAATTTCATGGCTTATAGTGCAGTTTTAAAAGGTAAATGATTACAACCTCAGTGCTCCCATTGAGCTGTTTGAGCCCTTCCTGTTTCCAGGTACTAGAAATAAAGACATGAAGGCATCGGTATAAAATACATCACCCAGGGTTCTAGGCATCTAAGCAGCCAGGTGGCTGCACATCCTGGCAGATGGAGCCTGTATGGGAAAAACGCCTTGCAAAGATTGCATATCTACGGAGAGGGTAATTAAATTCTAGGCTGTCTGTATTAGCATATGCCTCCCATGTTTAAGAGTTTTCTTTACTAGAATCTGAAAGCTTTGGTCTTGTTTCGTTGTTATCCCGCTCTATTGGTGAGCCTACCTGCATGAACAAAAGACACGTTTAAAAGGATAGCATCCCAGAGGCATAGGCCTCTGGTTAAGGGATCAGTCTCTGCTTTAAGGTGGTATTGTGCCCGCTCCTCTATACCCGCTTTTATTTTGAAAATCCCTCCCTTTGCCACCAGCTCGTCTGGCCCCCTAGTGGCAGGTCTGCCCTCCTGTCCTTTTTCATTTTATAGCTAGTCTGACCTGAGATGACTACTCTCGTTACTCTCAATAGTTTTGCTTGCTTTCTGTGTGTGTGCCTTTTCTGGCTAGAGCCTGGGCATCATTCATCGATGGAACACTGCCAGGCACTGGGCTTGGGGAGTGAAGAGACACATTCCCTGCCTTCATGAAGCTGTTTTCTTGTTGCACTTTCGGGGGGGGGGGGGCCCTCGGGTCTCCCCTGTCACCTTTTTTTTTAAAACCCGCGGGTCCTCGTGTCTCACCTGTCACCTTTCTTTTTAAAACCTGCTTTTCAGAGATCTGAAATTGCTGCTGTAACCTAGATGTCACTTTCCCCAAGGAACACGGGCCCTGAATTCCAGAACAAAAGCAGGCATTAAGAGTATGGCTACATAAAGCTATCTGCACTGTATCCCCAGTGAAGTCTGACCTTTTGTATGAGGACGTTTGTGGCTTTGCCCCGATAACCTGCACTGGTTCTCAGTAAACTGCCTGATCTGGCTCATCAAACGTGGGCCTTGCTACCGCAGGCCCCTCATCTCTGCGGTGACTGACCGAGAACTCCTGAAGGTTGTGAGGCTTCTGTCAACCAGTACCTGGAACATCCCTCTCCCAGCCCCCCACCCCCACCCCCATTTTCTAAGACGTCCTGTTTACCACTGACTTTTTGAAAGTACCTTGTTTCATAGCGCGGATGGGGCCTAGCCTATCACTGATTTGGGAGGATTAAGAAAAGCTTCCTGTGGAGGATTAAGAAAAGCTTCACAAGACTGAAGTCCTCAGTTTGTTGCCTCTGGCTTTAAATCACCTCCGTTTGTAGGGTGCTTTTGGCTTCATACCTGTGCAGATTTTTTTCTCAACTGCACAAATCACACGGCTCTGTTCCTGTTTCTTCCATATACTGATCATTGAGAATTTGTGTTTCTCTTTTATTAAGACTTTTTTTCATTTAAAACTGTTTCAGCAGTTTTGAGAATCCTCTGGAACTGACACGCTCATTCCTATATTGAAAATGACTCGTGTGTGTCCAAAATTAGAAGTAATTGAAGCTGCACAGTTCAGGTCTCTCTGTTTTTAAATGTTTATTTGAAAGAAGTTACACTGAAAGTTGTTACTTATTTGTTGTATATACCCTCTGACCCAGAAATCATTCTAGTTTATCTTGGAAAAGAACCAGAAGTGTATGCACAGGTGCATTTATAGGGATGTTAGTTACGGTATATTCATGATAGGAAAGAAAAGGAGCCACCCACACCGCAGTGGGGAGATGGGTGGTGGGTGAACTGTAATCCAGGCATACAGTGGGTTATTATTCAACTTGAAAGATACTTTTGAATTTACTTGATGGGATGCATTCATGCCATGGTAAATGAATAAAGGCGAGGCATGAAAGTGATTTTCTTTGGATTCAATTTTGTAAAAATGCGTGCTTAAGACTGGTGAGCCATACGCTGCGTGAGAGTGGCTGCTCCCGAGAAGTAGGCTGCCCCGGGGTTATTGCTGCACAGAGTATGTGACCCCTGGAGGAGTGGCCAAGTGTGCACATGAGCTGTTCTCCAAGATGCGGGAGTGGGAGTCTCATAAGAAAGGTGCGTGCGTAGCGTCCTTTCCAAATGTCTTGGAACCCAGACGTTTAGTGGGTGTTTCCAGTTGCGTTGCATCTTGGTGCAGAGGGCCAGAGCTGTTCTCAGGCGGTACTGGACAAACCTGTCTTGATCTTGGCTTTTACTTTATTTTCTGTTAATGAAATAAGTTAACTTTTTTTAAAATTTGAGGACCGTTTTAATGGTTTTTATGTTGTTCAAGAATTGTCATTTCTTTATGAAAAACAACTGAAGGAACATTTGGGGGCATAACGTAGAGTGTCCTGAATCCTTAAAACTAGTTAGAAATGTCCCTGAGTTGTACGTTGTCCAAATAACAGCCCTAAATGAAAATTTATGCCGATAAGTAAATCTCAAGTAGGTATCTGAAATGCCATGACTTTTCATCGAAACTGCACATTTGAGGAATTGTTTTCTATTGGGGAAAGTACGTTTCTTGGTAGTGTGCCAAGTCCATTAATAATCCGTAGATTGTAAAGTTATCTGACAGTTTTGGAGCCTCCAGTGCTCTGACAACAAGGGATGAGAAACATCTGTGTTAAAGTCCTCTGCTTCGGTGTAGGG